ACTAAATGTAAAATCCACAAAGCAAGTATAGTTGTGGACGTTTAGAACGGTTGTCGTCCTGCAGTATAATATCACTAACCACAATTTACATAAGATTTTATACAGCTATGCCATAAACAATACAAGAAGACACAATCTTGTGCAAAGCCCAAAACAAACTTTATAGAATTTGGTCAATTGATTAAGTATTGGATTTCTTAACTTTTGGTTTGGATCTAACTTGATAAAGTTTATTCAAGAAATACATGTCGTGCGTTCGGAAATTGGTATAATTAAAGTTTACTTAAAAACAACTGGGTACATACTGCTACTGGCACTCTAAAGCATGTTAGCCCCGTCACATTTTGTATGACTTGTGCCTGACCAAAGTAAGAAGCCTGTAATTCAGTGGTTGTCCTTTGTTGCTGTGTTCTTCGTTTCTTGTTTTTTTTTACATAAATCAAGCTGTTGGTAAGTTTCTCGTTTGAATTGATTTACATTTGTCATTTCGGGGCCTTTTATACCTTGCTATGCAGTATTGTTCATTCTTGAAGGCCGTACGGTGTCATCTAGTTACTGACTTTTACGTCATTTATTTTCAGGTGTAGAGATGTCTCATTTGGGATCATTACATCACATCTTCTTATCTTTTTAGAGGGTTCAATCCACCTAGAATCCATTACTCCGTGTGTTATTGCTTTAACAGTTTCATTATTTCAGCATTGATGACTTCCAGAGTGCGTTTGTACAAGAGTCAAACTTACAATAATCCAAATGGCAAGACCATATTACTTGTTTTGATTACGTTTTCAAAGACACTCTCTACGAAGTATGTTAGCTACATGTAAACCGTCGTAATACCTAATACAGCTAAATCTATCAAGGAAAACAAAACTTTAAAACTGCAAGGAATCATGTCGACTTTGCCAGACTCTAATCAAAACATGAAAAATAAGGATCAGATACTCTTTCAGAATGGAGCTGTTAATACTCCTTATCTACAAAATGTTTCTTAAACCCATAGACTTTCTGCATACGTAGCCGACGCTTTTGACAAATACGCTTTTGTCCCTATAGTAAACCGGAACCCCAAAAAGATCACATGGAAACCAATAAATAATTCAAAGACGTTTACTAACGAGGGAATTATTAATAATCAGAGGACTTTTTTTAACAGACAACAAGGCAGTCAAAAATCTGAAAAAAATATACTAAAAAACAAAATTTGTTGTCAGGAGTGGAGATTCCTTTGGAACCCCTTTCAATGTTCATTCACTGATGTCCATGAAAAAAATGTTTTGTTGAAGAGCTGATCAAACCTAATAGTACCTACATTATATCTAAAGCCGGGAAAAGAATCAGAGCTCTGGATAAGAGAATTAATTATAATTCTAAATGTTTTTACGAGCACGGGAATGATTTACCAATTTATCAACTTGTAAACAATTCCAGGGTTTTTCCATTGTTAATAGCCGTATATTATTCGTATACTTGTAACAAACAGTTAAATAAAAATAAAATGCGCAAACTTGTTTAATTGAAAATTTAGGGACAGTAACATTATGCTAGATTGTACGCTGAAAACGATGATCAGATCTGGACTTATGATTCCTACGCAATACAAAGAAATTAATGAAACTTCATGACCTCATTTAGAAGTAAGTAATGATTATATACACCAGGATCGTGGTCCACAAGTAACATTGACATTATATGGGTTTTAGCATTATTTAGCTATTTTTTGTGTTTACAGACGGCTTTCAATTTCATTAACTACTCATTCCAATTCATCAACAAATTCATTTGATTACCTCGAAGATACGAAAGACATTGAATATGTTGATAAAGCAAAAAAAAAAAAAAAAAAGAGGAAGAAGCTCATTGTGGAGTCACAAGTGAAAAGGCACGCTAGATAAATGTATATGATAAAGGAACCTTAATTTTTTTTTTCGGTTGTTGCTTTGATGATTTGTATTATATAATCGTGACTTAAAGAACATAATGTTTTTTTTTTAAATTTGAATATTTAATTCATTTATATAAAAGACTTTTATTACTTCATTAAAGTAATTTTCCAAGATGCTATATGATCTAACCTACATTTCACATTGTTTGCGAGCAATAGGAAAAGAAGCAATGAATAATGTAGATCATGACGACTTACCTTTTTTGTGTGACATATACTCAGTCTAGTAGTGTTCATTACAAAGCATACACGTCATCATCTGTCAGAAGATACAATCGCTACTGTTCAGAAAATTAAAAAAAGGCGCCTTCGGCAACTCTGTCTACTATTGCAACAGGTAAACCCTGGCATACGCCAAATTTCAGTAACTTATATCTGCAGCGACTTGGATATTGTTCCGGCATGAACTTAAAATGTTAATATTTCAAATGAGATGTCAACCAAAGTTCCATGATTCATTTTTCATTTGCCAATTCAGTTGTCAACAGTCACTCAATGAGCTACGTGCATTTTTGCATCTTCTATAATGCGACTATATAAGCAATCTCTATTACAACTTCACATACTGCTAAATATTATTAACAAAGTTTCTTTTGTTATTCGATTGTTTATTGAATTATATTATAACTATTGATATACAATAAACATTTCATGACTTATTTACATAAATAGGAATTATCGAAGTCGACAATTACATTAGGAAAATTTCACCGTTATTGATTGCAGGTGGAATCATATTTCTTTCACATCATTACACGATGCCCGCTGATGTTTTGTTTTTAAAGCTTCAATGTTTGATTCAAGATGATGATAAAAAATCTATATTTTATTTCAAAGATCTGTAAATATAAGAAGACTATGGACATCTTTCTTTTATGTCAAAGTAATACTACAATAACCCATTCTTTGTTCACGACTTCTCAAAGAATATCCCCGGATGTTAACCTGTTATGAGGAACACTCAGCAGATGGCACTGGTGGAGCAGATACTGGTTACATTTCGATGCACCTCAGTTCAACCAAGTGTTTTAAGGATTGAATATTGCTCAATCAATGGTTTTCTCTGTTGTATTTTGTGAACTGTACATGTAACAGTTACTTGTTTATTCATAGTTATCTTTTAGCCATACTGCTGTTTATCCTTTTAAAATTATGAATTTGATAGCCTCCTTGATATGTTCTAACTTGTTGCTGTAGATTTGCAGCTATGCCATTGTTCTCGTAATGGGCAATGACGTCCTAAACATATCAAAATTGACAAATTTGACCTAGGATGGCTATCTTTTACGTAGTCTATGGTCCAATAGATATGAACTAAGGCCTTATCCAAAAATTAATTTTACAAACAGTTTCATCTTTGCTAAAAACATCTTGAAGCAAAATAGTATTTAGGAGTAAAGCGTTAACTTATATCTAAATATAAATGAAACGATCTAAAATGAGGCTATTTTTACAGTTTTGCACGAACGCAAAAAGTTTAAAACCTAATGCAAATATGCAACACAATACTCAAAAATATTAATACTGATGATTCATACTTTAATATTTTACGAACATCTTAAGGAGGTTCTTTAGCAGATTGATGATAATTTTTTGTCAGGGGCCAATACAGTGGCCTCAACACACCTTCTTTTTAATAAAGGGAGATGCTTGATATTTTTGGAAAGGGAATTAAACGGAGATATCCTGCAAATTCCCAGAAAAGTCATAGTTTAAACACAAATTATTATGTTTCAAAGACCTGAAAAAACGTAAGTTAAGTACGTCCAGACCATCCCTCTTACCTTTTGTATCCTAGAGACCTGATATTTTGCTTTGTAATCTAGGAAATGGTTACCGCTATCACTATTCATTTGTAGGATTAGATGCATTTAACATTCATTGAGTAAAGAAAGTGCGTTAAGCATTTGTCACTTGGCCTCAAACAACCAATCAATTAATTAGTCATTATGCAATGTACGTCTCTTTACGTTTTGCAATCTGTCAATCAATCAATAAATCGGTGTCTTCCCAATTTGTAAAATTACAAGTAAAAAAGAAATGAAATTATGTGCAGCAACTGGTAAGATGTTTGTGGGATAAATGGGAAGTAAAATGTTACACAATCGGGAATTGTTTTGATAGTTACTGTAATTTATTTGTGTAAGGTGATATTAGATAACTAGTGATAATTATCTTAGACTAATAGATGTAATTTACAAAATTTGAAATAGACATGGAGAAAAGATGGTATCTACATAATCTATTTTGTATTGTGATATTCTTAAATCTATCAAACTACTGTTTAAATTAAAAACAAGATAATTCGAAGACTGCCGATTGGCATATAACCGATATAAGATAACGATAAATATAAAATGGAAGCACAAAAACGTGCTATCGTACAATGGCAATTTTTCTAGGTCTGTAGCAAATTCCCCTTTAAACACTTGTCAACAATAGACAAAATTATTGTCCATAGATATGAAAAAAGTCCTTTCTATTAAAAGTGTATTAAAAGTTCTTGAATGTTTTTTTAGGGCCAATCAGTCAACGAAATGGTTCTTCATTTTGGCATCCTTGTTTCACTTGTCAATGTTGTCTTTTTTATACCTGAACATGCTAAGATCATGGACAAGCCGTCTCCCGCAAAGGGTCAAATGTATGGTCGCAGAAAGACGGATTTAAACGAGGCTGAATTATTGTCTTGCAAGTCAAAAATACATTAGCCACTTTGACAAAATTGAACCAAACTGACAACAAAAATCGAAATATTGTTTCAATAATCCTCTTTCATGACAAACAACATCCTTTTTTAAGTGTACTTCTAAATCGTAGATAATGCACCTTTAACGATAAAGGAAAATAATTCTCTCTAGTAAACATGACAAGTAGATCAATCGAAAAGCTCATTCTCTTGTCACACTCCCTGTATTCGCTTTTACATTTAGTTTGATAAATTAAGTTACCTTTGTAACATCAGTTATTGTTGATATAAAAATAGATTGTTAGGTAATTTTTCTACATTTCTATATCCTTTACAAAACAAAAAACTTCCTTCTTATATCATTTCTTGTTTAAGTTTTACCGAAGAAAATGCATGAGTTATCAAAGTGGAGCTTATTTTTTCATTCCATTCTAACACTTCTTATATTTAAACCGGGTAAGCAAAATGTTTTAAATACAATTTAAATTAATAACACGATCAAAATGTTATAATAGACATTTTATTTAGTTTTATACAGCTGTAAAATAAATGACATTATTGAAGTATATATCGTTGTTAAATCAAGTGGCGTTCATGTATTAGTACAGGAAGGTTAATGAAGCATAGCATTATGGTGACGATTATTAATTTAAAATTTCAACATTTGTGTATTACAACAACAAAAGGGGTTTAAGAGGCCCAGTGGTCTAAATAGTTAATCTACGTGGAACACTGAGTCTCTGCTCTGATAATAGGAGTTCGAACCCCGCTCGTGGACAGGAGTGTTCGACTCCGATCTTAATTGACTAGTACAATTTTCACGCTAAAGGTCGATAATTCTCTTTGGATTCACTGGCTCCCACCACCAATGAAACTGACCGTTATGATGTAGCCAAGTGAGCAGAAATCGACGTTGAACACAAACAATCAAGCCCATCAAGACAACTAACCAATTAAATAAATCCAGATTTCCTATAAATCATTCAATATTTAAAATTTCCTAATACATTAAAACATATAACAAAGGGTAATTGTCGTGGATTGCTATAATTTTTGGAAAACGCATAGAAAGAGATACAGTTCAGACTTCAATTATCATACAACTCTTACAGTCATATACGCTGTTCGCATGTATTTGCAAATTCATTTTTATGAATAACATCTCTCCTTACCTTACATTCTGAAATTCTTTAAAGTCACAAATATTTGTACTCGGTATTTTGAAGCAATATATGTATCCAATTGTGAATAACAGCAAATTTCACTGTTCCCAATCCTTTTTAGATTTCCGTAAAACAACAATAATTACTGACAATTAAACAATTAAGACGTCTTTCCGATATGCTTCTAAATTATAATTAGTGGTGTCTTCTTATTCCTCGACCCAGATATATAAATAGACATGCGATATATCATTTCTCCAAAGACAGGGCAATTTTTAACCGCATGTCTTCAATGAGAACGTGAGCAATTTCATTGCTTCATGCTCTTCCCAATGACAATTTAAATATAATTTAACTTCTTATGCATTGATTCATCAGAGTTTAAATACATCCGTTTGATTTAGTCAGTAGACACATCAGCCATGTATTTTTTGTTGTTGTTGGAGTGTTTTTTATTATTAAAAGTATTGATTGTTTTAAACAGATGAAATTCTCTTCAAAGTGTAAAACACCTCTAAATTGCATTAAAGAATATGTGTTGTTATTTCCTGAAGCAAACATACGTACAGATGTACAGGTCAAATATCTACCTATTGCAAAATCAAAGAAGTAAAGTTTTTTTTATCAATAACAATTAATATTACCTATAGTTTATAATAATTGTTTTTCAAAGAGGCTAAATATAGAAATTACAATCGTCATACAGAGATTTGTAGATTAACATGAGATAAGAGGCGATTACACACAGCATGGAAGGAAAATACACTCTTAAAAAAAAATTAAACATTGGTTTCTGTTGACATGGTTATTATGTTTGCTTATATTTATTTTGATTATACTAAAGAGAATCATTTCGAACTAATAAACGTTCCTAATATCAGTGCATTTATTGTAAGCAAAGAAAAATAAAATGCATCTTTACGAGGAGCATCACACACGCACACATAGGTTGAGCTCTGTATTATACTTGATTTAAATAGGTCGTTATAGAGGAATGAGACTGGACATCATACAATGCAGCTTGTGTTGATGGTTTATTCAAATATTGATGTTAAATAGAAAACACAAGTTAACCATTAATGTCATTTAAATTTTGACAACGCTGACGGGCGGCAGGATAGCTTATTCTGGCCTGTGCAACTCGTGTGGAAGTCGGGGTTCCTATTAGGTAAATCATATTATTATATAGAAAAGTGACTAAAAAAATAATTTTGAAATTATCACAATTCGGTAATCCGTATAAAGTTAACTGAAAAAAGCTCAATTTGAGAATGTTATTTTCGAATTGGACTTAAATTGAAGTATTTTTTGTTAAAGGTTACTTGGTCAGATTTGTACCTTATCCATTCTAGTCTGGGTGACTTATGTATTGTTTATCATACAATGAGATACGATTTTCTAATATGTAAGGATAGTTTTGATTTCTTTCTTGTCATTTGTATAAACTAAAAAAAAGTGTAATAATTGTCGTTTTATAGTGTTCATTTCCATACGTATCGGAACAGCAATCTAATAATATGTTAAAAATATCAGCATTCTATTTATCGCACATCCGGGAACCTTTGGAGTTAATAGTTAGAGTGAACGTCTCTGAATTTACTTCAAAACAATGGCGATGGTCAATTTTAAGCTCAGAATTCTGTAAACTATACTATGTAAATGAGGATTCCGAAAACACTTCAATGCATTAATTCATTATTGAATCATCATCTCATTCGTCAGTCTTCTTCATGTTGTGAAATGATGCTATATTGTATCTTTCATAATATAAGGAATGAATGTTAAGTTTTCGACTGCGAGTGTTTGACCGAAAAAAATTCTAAACGGACAGTTTTTTTGAAGTTATGGAGAAAACTTTTAAGACTACAATGACATTAGACAATAACTATCACCGGGTAAAGTATTTCTTTAACAATGTATTATGGAAAAAGATGTTCTCTGAAAACAATCTACCTTCATGTGGTATTTTCCTTTTTTTGTTATTATTTTGTGTGTTCAAGACGTATTATGTGACGTAGGTTTCCTACCCTGATATACATGTTAGAGCTTCATATTTAACACTCTTACAATCTTTATTTTTTATTATTGTAGATCATTTAAGCGCCATTCATGTATCGATTCAACAAGATAATGCATTAATAATGCAGTGTCCTAGGAAGACGACCATTAACATAACAGCAATCTATGTTGAAAACCGACAAATTAATTGTTATTGCAATGGACATGGTCAATGTAATCTTACTTTAGAAGAATCAGAATATATAAGAGACACCTGCAATGGAAATGTATCATGTGGAATTGATATGCAAACTATGAGTATTCATGACTGTTTGTTGGAACATGGATTTTACAACTTTTCTAACAGTTGTAAACCAGAAGGTATTTATTCAAAATACGTCAAGCTCTGGTCGTTTTGATTTGTTTTTTTACTTATTATTCGTTGGTAACAACACAAAATAGCATCACCTTTTTAGGCAAGTGACTATGTAAAATGTTCAAGCAACTCTATAATTTAAAGGAAATGTTGATATAGATTTAAAGTTTATACTGGCTATTTTTTTCGGGACTTGATATTATCGGATTGAAAAAAAAATTCTAGAAGTTTTGATGAGTAAAATGGGCCGATGCACTTAAATTATTTGAGATGCGCGAATTGAAGAATTGTGACTTTTCATTGTTTACTAGTATATATTTGTATATTATGCTTGAACTTCGTTTGTTCGAGAACTGAAACATTTAAATATTATCGAGTCTAAACATTTTCGCCGTGCTACTTCAGACACGGTGAAATAGGAACTTCAACAAACACACCGTAACGGCAACTGTTATTGATATTTATAAAGGTAGTATACTAAAAGCTTAGTTGATTGCTCATACTCAAAATATTAGATAGGACATAGTAATGAATTAGTATAAAAGGAGTCAACAAGGGTCACACAAATAGTTTGACTAAAGTGTATTTGACATGTATGCATTTAGAAAATGGACAAAAGATAAGAAAATAAAAGTCTCTACAAATTTAAATCACCAAGGAAAGTAAACAGCAGGCATTTTTGAGTTTATGTGGAAATTGAAAAATATGACGAGAGATGAGTTAATATAAACTTTTTAAAGAAAATATGACATTTTATAAAATACATACTGAAAAATGATGTCTGATAACTTCATTGAGTGAGTACATATTTCTAACCAGTCTTAAACATATGTTTAGGCCAACTAAATTTAATTAGTAGATTTTCATCCAGATTTTTGAAAAAAATGGGGCGGGTGGGAGGATTTTATTTTTTAAATTTTATTTCATATGAAACACTCTTTTGATGTGTTCTTCATACATGCAAGTGTAATAATAAGCTAATATCATGTATAAACATGTATAAAGAATCGTTCATTTTTTTTTTAATTCTTAAATAAATATCTCTGATTGGCAACCACTGTTCTACATGCAATTGCATTGCCGCTTTAGAAACCTATTAATAGTATACAACAACAACGTGGATAAATGCTCTCTTCAGTTGGACTGCCTACACCAAATTTATTTTGCTTTCCAAGCTACGGTTTGTGGTCCCCATAAAATGAAGCAAATGCATTGGTATGCAACACAAGTATTATGAGTACAGTCTGAGAATAAAATGAAAACTCAAACAGTGTTGAAAAAAATAGGGTTGGTGCTTATTCAATATGCAAATATAATAGAATCATGTGCAAAACAGTGTAGCCGAGACCATTGATTGGCGCGCTAAAATATCCCATTGACTGGGTCAGATTAGGTGAACGTTCGTCTGTAACGCCCACAACTCACGACGTATTTATATAGACATTTAAACTGTGGGGTCACCAAAGGGTCTCAAAGCCTGAATAAAATAATTCGAAAAACTAATCAGGAATAACCTTTGTGTTTTGATTTATATTGAATACTTAAACGTTCTTTACTTGTGTTTTTGTTATGTTTTGATAATGAATTTTTATGATATCGGACGTTCTTTCAGCAAAAAAGGATTTAACTGGCTTTAAAAGTTACAATGGATGTGTTGATTATTATCTTTTTTTCGGACGTCAAAGCGATTTAACAATTGCGGTTGTCCAATTATGTCATCTTTTAACTTTTATCTGGTCAAAATTTTATTTTAGAACGAATGCATGATCAACTTTAAAAAGTGTGCAAACACAAAACATATAGACAAAATATACTTCTTTCCTGTCTTTTTCGTACTTGCAAGTTATTAGACAGTAAGAAGGCTATTTGGATCAAGCCTTGTGAAATTTGCATTTACGTTTTTGAATAGGTAAAATGTATAGTTTGGTGATCTTTTCTGCTAACTACTATACTTGTGAAAAACCCATGGCAACAGAAACATATTCTGCTTTTTTTTTAATCGACCCAATTTACATAGTAATGGACGACTTCGTATATTTTATGATCGCAAATAAAATATGTATATAATATACTGTGCACTGTAGTTCGTATATATACTGAGACCCTTTGGCAACCCCACAGTTTAAATGTTTATAATAAATACGTCGTGAGTTGTGGGCGTTACAGACGAACGTTCACCTAATCTGACCCAGTCAATGGGATATTTTAGCGCGCCAATCAATGGTCTCGGCTACACTGTTTTGCACATGATTCTATTACAATGTAAAACATGAACTAAACAAAAAAGAAGTTGTTTAATGACTTAATGAGGGTATAGGGACAGAGGGTGTTTGCTGTTTGTCAACAAAAAAAGACAGCCATGTGTAAATTTTAAGGGCTTTGTCGATTTTTTGAACACAATATACAGTCATAAATCTAACAACTTCGTGCTTGTGTCAATTTCTTTAATCCAGTCATGTTTTTTGTACCAATGTGTTCCACGATTCTTGCGCTTTGGATATCATTCACAGTCCAAATTTCCATAGACAAAGTCATTGTATAAATACAAAAAATCCACGGTTTTCTAATCACAGAAATTTGTGAAATACCGCGATTTGCATTCTTGGACACCGTGTATTACTGGTAACCTGAATATTTCACGCCCTTCTCATTATCAATCTCTATTCTCAGTAGACGATCATATGGTGTCATCATAGAGCAGCAGAATATGTCGACTTAATCATTTTGCATGTTTGGTTGATTACTCGAAGAAGTACGAAAACCGAAATTTGAAACAGGAAGTTTTGAATGAAACAAAATTATTGACGATTACCGGTAACGGAAATGAACAAATTCCGGAAATTGTAAATTTTTCAAAATAAAAAAAATCGGGGCGGGACGATTTCAGAGGGGCGGGCGGGGATGAAAATCTATCAATTAATTTTAATTGGCCTTATCTGAAGTAAAAATATAACACACACCAAAATAAGATAAAACTAAGTAATACTATATTAATATATCTTAAATAATACATAAATCTTTAATGCAGTTTTGGAATGCAAATTGACCAAGAGAGGAAGCGAATATAGAGGAATTATAAATACAACTAGATCAAATATTTCTTGTCAACGATGGGACTCACAAACACCTCATGAACACACGTCCAATATATTGATAAAGGACGAGGCGAATTTCTGTCGTAACCCGGACAATGAACCAGAGGGTCCTTGGTGTTATACTTCTGATCAAAACCTACGATGGGAATATTGTAATGTTCCTTTCTGTGGTAAAATTGTTATGATTTTCGATTAGTTAGTGTATATTAGTGTATTGTACATTTTTTTTTTGTAATGTAACGTTCTAACATCATTCGACAGAAATCAAACTAATTGTGTATTACTTAGTATTACATCTTTCCATTTCTTTGTCCACTATGCAGTGCGTTGCATTTCTGTTACAATTTTAAAAGTTTTCGGTTTCAAATCGTTAAGTGATAAAACATGTGTCAAATAAAAATGTCCCAGGTGCATTTTCAAATATTGTATTTCGTAATGACCTTATTGTTTCCTCGTTATATAATAAGGTTAGACAGGCGTAAATATTTGTGTTCTAAACATTTCCCCCTATTTCCTTATATCAATGTACATGCTCAAAACTGAATGATTGATTAAGTTGAATGTGTTGTTATGTACAGTAAAATAACTGATTACGAATTAAATGCTTATTGTTCTTATCTTACTTAGAAGCGTTCATACCAAAATAACTCACGATCAACTCTTTTAAAGCCCTATAAAATTACACAATGAAGCATTCAATTCTTATAAATACATAGTATACTACAACCAAGAAATTCCGAGTTATAACAAGCTTTTCGTTTGTTTTCCAATACATTCTTGCGACGTTGTCATGGGAAGCACCTGCAGTCATGATTGTTGCATTCATTTGAAAATTAAATATAATTTTAGAACGCCTCCTATTGATTTCTACCAATAAAAATTACGGATTCTGAAAACATTTATGTAATTATTACAAATAAAGAAAATGTTATCATATTAATTGTAAAAATATTTCAGATAGAAATATTGCTTTTTCAATTCCTTTGAGTTTATATTTGATATATTTAAAGTCATATGAAACGAGTTTCGTGAAATTATATTGGTATAAAAATTATTGAACCAATGCATGTATATATACTAATGTCATCTATGCACGATTGTTTTACAATTATTACGAATCAATAACATTTATTCGACAAAAATTATTCCATTCAGTGAAAACTTTCACTGCTTATTAGCATTCGTGTTTTACTGCCGAGGTTTATTGAACGTGACCTTAATAAACAATCAACACAAACCCGTTGAGCACGTGAAATCATACATTTAATGATTTGATGTATTAACTTGTTCTTTTTAAATCAATTAACACTATTTATCTTCCAGTGCACGTTTGTGTACATTCTTTAAACACGGGTTTTCTCACGCATTTGCACATTGCGGTTGACGAAGTTTTATCAAGAGGTCTCAGAGCTCAAGTCACTGCATACGGAAAAGCTATCGGCGAAACAGTTTTACGCTGGTTTATGTATCCTTCATATTAAAAACCTCGTCCATGGTTGTATGTATTTATGCATTATTGTTTTGGTATCAAAGTTATATTCACTTGTATGTTGCTGGAGATCATTTAATAGGTTCTTTATAATGCCTTATAGGTTAATCCTATTGTTATTCCATTATTAATTGTCGATTTTTTTCTTAGATGGTGCTCAATACATAGTTTTAGAATGCAAATTAACGACAAAAGGAGCTGAATATAACGGGGTTATAAATAAAACACGGGATAACATTGCTTGTCAGCGCTGGGATTCAGACAAACCTCATGACCATAGTCATACTAAATCAATGAAGAAAGAAGAAAACTTCTGTCGTAATCCTGATAATTCACGTCATGGGCCTTGGTGTTATACAACTAATTCAACTATACGATGGGAATACTGTAATGTTTCCTTGTGTGGTAAGTAAAGAAAATAAGAATACCGAATCGACTGTTGCCATCAATGGAGCAGGAACTGTTTATAATTTGGTAATCCCAGAGATAACTTTTTTTAAGTCAATTTTTACCTGGCCTGTATGCTGTCGCGTAGACACCTTATTTTGCACTTGTCAGGACCAACAGGTCCTTGTCGTAATTGGTACATTGAACTACATTACTCTTCTGCTAAGTAAAATATCACTTGTTTATAATAATATTAACGGTACTAATTTTTCTGCACCAGCTGGGCATTTCGACAATGAATGTCTCGAGGCCAACATATTAGAAAATCCAAAACTTATTAAAAAAGAGCTTATAAACCAAAAGTAGCAGACAGTATAATAGCATTAAATTTGGATGTAAAACTTTAAAAATTGTGGTTTTAAAAGCAGTCATGTACATGCTTATTCAGAGATGTAGAATATTAATTCTCCCAGACTCTTGATAACCTGATTATGCAGAAATCCGCGAAAAAAAATTCATGTGTACCTTTCTTTGGTTGCTACACGATAAAGTCTGTCTGTTTTTTAATTCCTTGTTAACGGAAAATTATTAAATGAATCTAATGTAACATATCGTCATGTAGCCATGCAGTCAAAATCGTTAGCATGGGGCAAATTAGAAAGTCTCAAGCTAATTTTTAGACACATACTGTGAAAATTTAAACCAATATGTTATGACGACAATGAAGTTTTTTTTTTTGGATGATGATGCTTACTTAGTCTTGATATAACCCGAACTACTGTCTTAGACGGCAATTGTGATCGGTTAAGACAGTTTAAAAGATAAGCAATGAACGCTTTCGAGACGGGGGTATTCAGTACACAATGTACCCTGTCATTAGGAAAAAGAATATATATGCTTTATGGATCGAAATAATTTCAACATAGTTGATCTAGAGTTGAAGGGTTGTGCTGAACCCGCCTGAATAGTATATATTCTATTGACAGCATTTACCTCACATTCAAATATTATTCATTATAGAGAGTGTTAATTTTTTTTTGGAAAATAGGGGAAGCCAGTTACCAATGCATCTCATCATAAGTATTTATTATATTTATCGTTGAACCGTGAAGATCCAAACATATTTTGAGAGGAGAAATAAATACTGTTTTGAGTGGTTGGGTGAGGTTAACACCCTAAGGAGAAACGGATTATGTTGTAGTCAATAATGTAATACATCTGGTCATAAGTAGTATATATAGTTTTATGGGGATCTGGATGGCTTGTGAAAGCAATTATATGATACAACCGATAGTTCTTTTCATGAGTAATACAAATATATATACATATGTTGAAAAGTTGTCACATATAAAGACTTATATCAATAAATAATATTGATGTGACTGCATCGTAAGAATTATATTTCTTTATGGGAGACAAACCAGCTTTTGTCATTTTGCATAACATATATCTAGATCTTGAAATGCGTCTGAAATTTGGCCCAACAATGTTAGATTTACAAATTTGAGTAAGCAAGTTTTTTTGTTCTTTCCTCAGCGGGATTCAAACCCCCTGCTTCTGTGAAATTTTGGCAACAACTACGGATCCTACATAGTAACAAGCGTCCTCGACCACTCGCGCAAATGGGATGTATAAAGTAAAGCTTTCGTTAGGGAGTTCTTATGACTATCTTCGTTGAATTAGTTTAAACATTTTGTATTGCTAAATCTAAGCAAAACGAACGATTCACAAGTAAAATCCATACTTGAAGCACTACAATATAATTATATATATAATTATAATGTTATAAGCATTCAGGTGAAACAAACAAATGTATTGCATATCATACGACCTATTGATAAAAAGAAAAAGAAGGAGCAAAGATTGAGAAATCACATTATTCTGTGATGATTCGTTTTAAATGATGATGTCGGCGATGATGATAGTCCATGTCAGTATCAATAGCAATTCATGAAGGTACAAGAAATCTATTTGACCTTTGGTAAAAATCTTATATTTGAAAATTAAGAGATTTTGTTCATTAGAAAGTTCAAAGTTTTGTTTACTATCTAATACAAAGTATCCAGGAAGCCAATTCAGACCGTTAGGTAAACCTCTACATGTAGTTTATTTTGAACAAACGAAAAAGAAATGATAAACATTCGCAATGGTTGATGCACACTGACAGGCTGGACTCAGTATAATGTCATATTTTAAGAATGAAGTGAAACATCGCAAATGAGATATGATAATATTCAACTCAATAATACAGAAAATACGTTGCAACTTTACTCTGGAGACTATCTTTTTCAATTCATCATTAAATTTAGATATAGAGTCGATGTTACGAATGTTAGATCAGGATTATTCCATTCTCGTATTGAGGAAGAAATAAAATTGGAACAATGATATTTGACCGCTTCGCAACGGATAGTTGGTTATACTTTGAACAACTGAGGACACACATGGTGAGACGACAAGATTACATTCGTATTCAGAAGTATAAGTTTTGATTCATATCATACACTAAATGTAATTTTCTTCTTCTTTTACGTTTAATCAAATTTTCGCAGCCATCCTAGGAGTACAGAGTTTCGGATTTAATGAAAATTGATAGACCTGTAACAAATCTTGCAGCTTCATATTCAAGTTTTCTAATTCATTTGAATATCATATACCACAATTATCCCACCCACACGTCCGTGGCATATTCAAACATGGGTCTATTAAAAGCTAGGTTTTGATAAATTATTTCGGTACAGTCGGTATTTAAGTGTACGCAAAATTATAATTGTAGTTCTTTAACTTGTAATTATACTTTCAATATTATTGTTCCATTTTTCGTTCCTTCTGAAAGTAACTCCCTGGTGCCTTTGAATTATTTCCTCGTTGTCTTTATTTAGGGTTTTAACACAGTACATAATGTATAGTGCCAAGCAGAGGTTTACCTTGCAGATCAGCTGATTGTGTTTGTCGTAAAAGATGATAATTTCACACACATATATATATATATGTATATATCCCAAAAAACAATTGAATACATTTATCAAATTTGCGTCTTAACGTTATTTACCTGATGTGACTTGTGCAAACTAAAAATCAACTATACGTCCACATGTGACAACTTTACGACGAACATTCTCAATCAGAGAACCTATGGTTATACAGGGCTAACGATACAATTTACACAAATCATACTTCGTCCGAAAATTAGCTCCTTAATCATGTTAGTGTAGATCTGCAAATTACAGAATCAAGTGTTTGGTTTTCCCACACAGGGATCAAGCCCATTCTTTTGTGACATCATGTCAACATGTGAGTGGATTGGTAAGGGAACGCAAAACATTGTGAACAAAATAACTATTATTGATTTACCGCGTAGAGAACACATTTATGAAGTAGCATGTAATACTCAAAGCAGCTTATCATTATATAAGCACATATGATGGTAAAGGGATGTGCAAAACAACAGTTTTTATATAACAAACGATTTGAGGGTATATGCATTTTAAAAGAATGTTATCATAAATAACAAAGATAGATTCCGTCAACTGCATCAAGTGTAATACGATATGTTCAACAGCTAGATAAAATTAAGTTGATTCTTAAATTCAAAACGCAAAGGCTTGCCGAGCTTTTTAAATATTTAAAAATTACTGTCAGGTCTTGAAAAGAATATTGTCAGATGAGGCCCGGTGGTGGGATCGATTTTGAAAATTATTGTCAGACATTGCGTAGTCAAGCTTTATCTTAGTTTATCCTTTATAAAGTGTTTTATGTTGTGAAACATGTTGAACGGTATATATTTAATAGATTCAACTTATTTTGCGGTTCACTGTAAGTATGATTGTCTGTTGCTTAAAATCTAATGCTTTCTTTCAGATTTTCCACATTACGTTCAGACGTGTATAGATGTAGGAAATACAATGCAGTTGGAAAAATGTCCTACGGTCTCTCGTATCTCTGACGACTTTCAAATCTATTTTGATAGACAATTATCCGATGAGTGTTCCGGTAATTATTCTTCAGCCCAGGCGATTGTTATTGATTTGTGCAATAAGACAAAAAATCGAGATATATGCAGTGAATCAATTTCACGTCTATTACAAGATCGGGGGAAATGTTTTGAGATGAATACGTTCAAAGTCAAATACTTCTGTCAAAGTAAGTTATTTGCAGTTCACTTTTTAACTCATATTCAATGTATTGATTATTCAATATAATGGAATTTTATCCAACTGTCATACAAGTGAGTGGTTTAGCTAGTTATAAAACCAGGTTTAATCCACAATTTTCTACATAAGGAAATGCCTGTACCAAGTCAGGAATATGACAGTTGTTTTTCCATTCGTTTGATGTGTTTAAACCTTTGATTTCGTCATTTGTAAAGGGACTTTCCGTTTTGAATTTTACTCTGAGTTCAGAATTTTTGATATTTTACTTTTTACAATGTAAACTTTATGTAACAATAACAAATGAGAGAGAAAGAATGGTTTTTGAATTCTTTTTTTGCTGTATAAATTTATTTAATAGTAATATTTCCTATATTTATTCAACAGATGATTTTCTCAACTAGTCATTGGATGAAATATTTTAGTGGGCATTTCCTTTAATTCCTATGATATACATGTACACTGAATCAGTTGTCCTAAGGTGCATGTTTCCAAAATGATATTCTTACAGACTGTTAAATCCTTCTATCTGTGTAAATAAAATTATTAAAGGTTATTGCATTATGATTCATATTAAATCACTAGTTCGTGCAAGTATGTGACATATACAAATTTAGTACCTTGAAATAAAAATAAATAAAATTTAAAAACTTTTTGAACTTCCCAATCGTTAAAATAGTTTTTAAATGAAATCAACATGTCTTTACCACATCGTACCGCGATGGAACCCCAAGTTAAACTGTGTGTAAACAATAATTTGAATACAACCGTTCGGTCACAACAGAAACAGAATTCCAGGAGACTATAAATAAACTCGTCATAAATACTAGAAATACAATTTTGTACGCCAGACACGCGTTATGTCTACAAAAGACTTATCAGTGACGGTCGAATTAACAAAGATAGAAACGCCAAATAAAGTCCGAAGTTTAATGCATAGAGAACTCAAAACAGAAGTGCTGACTACTGGGCTGGTGGTATACTATACGTTTATTGCCTCATGTTATCTGTTCACCAGTATTTGTGTATAAAATCATCAAAGATACCAGGCTTATATTTTGTACGTCAGACACACGTTTTGTAATTTATTCCTATATAATAGAACGGTCGATTGAAGGGATAAATGTTCAATGTTCACCGCCAGAATAACCAGAGATCCTGCCACATATGATTCCCTTATTACACATGTCGAAAATTGCGATAGCGGATGATTGAGAGTAATTTCTTTTTATGAAATGAAATCGACAAACACGCCTCTATGGAAATTAAAAGAGAAAAACTTTTGAACTTTTCTGCCATCAATACCTTATTGTCAAAAATTAAATGAAAAAACCCATAAAACAAATATTGACGAATTTCTTGATTTGGGACAGGCGCATGAGTACATGTACATGGAAATGGCGGGACTAAACTTTTTCATTAGATATTAACCCTTCCCCTTTTTTGTCTCGATCAGTGGATAAACAAAAGGTATAAAATAAGGACAGGAAACGTAACAACTTAAAAAAAAAACACGGAAAAGAAAAACAAAGAAAAACAAAAAACATTTCCATCAAAACGATAGTAAAAAAATAGTAAAGAACGCTGTAATTAAATTCAAAGATTGTTTTAAGCAGCAGACACATTTTGTAGATGAATAGAAACATCAAATGGACTATATTGTGTTTTTCGAAATATTCTAGATAAGATGTTAGTAAAAGCTGAATCATAAGAAATAAACAAATTTATTTACAACATTCTAGAGCAGTTCACAAGACATGCTAAATATTATGCAAATGGGGCTACATGTATTGCCAAATTTTCTTTTATAATAAGTGCTAAACGTTTGTCTTGTATGACATTCAAAGACATGGTATATCATTTTATAGATAAACATTGTATCTTATGCTTTCAATTGATACCGAATATTGCAATCAAATTAAGACCAATATCATAATAGGAAATTGTTAAATTATTATAAAGGTTTAAAAAAGTATTATACTTCAAAAGCAAAATTGATATCGTTTGCTCTAATTTTATGAAAACAGATAGGTCAATTAAAAATTGTATTCAATAAACGAGGAAAAAATTGTACTCGTGGAGGGATGACATAGGATGCAGTTTGTCCGTGGAATTAAGAAACCCTCTACTGGGCTTGATAAGATGATGCTTCACGACGTTCAGTACAATTCTTTTACAGACAAGTAATCCGTATATAAATTAAGGCAACATTAGTTTATTAATGTTCAAATCTGGTATATATAAAGAAGAAAAATTATGTAAAATTCTAGCACTATTTTTTTTCAAGGAATTATGGCCCTTAGAAATATCAATTATAAGAAAAACAACGTTGAAGGCGCATTACAAATCTAAATTTCTTGTCCGATTATTAAAAATGTATCGAGGTTTTATATTAGCAATAGGTAGGTCGAGTTCGAAAATCCGCCTTGATCAATTGTTTTACAGGAGCAATGTCATTGCATTAAAAGCACTTCGAAAAAGAGAAGCGAAAGATACCAAAGGGACATTCAAACTCAAAAGTCGAAAATAAACTGACAACGCCATGGCTAAAAAAGACCAACAGAAAAACAGACAAACGACAGTACACAAAGCACAGCATAGTAAACTAAAGACTGAGCAACATGAACCCCACCAAAAACTCGGGGTGTTCTCACATGTTCCGGAATGGTAAGCAGATCCTACCCCACTTGTGGCACCTGTCGTGTTGCTCATGTTAGTACAAATCCTGTAATAAGTTTAATTCGGTAGGTCACATTCGGGAAAAAACGGAAGGGGGTTGTAATTACGACATTTGGAACATATCCGCCATCATCTGTGAAACAGATATTCCATAAAGGTCAACCAACTCGTGATGGCGTCCGTAAAATTTACGATCGGATGATTTTAATTTGTACAATCCTTGCAAATAAGCTCATCATAGATATTTATGGAATGTAACCCAAAGGTTCATACCTGTATGCACAATGTCTTGGACAAGTTCTAAAATCAGTGTTGATCAACTTGGAAATATAAATGACATAGAAAATTTGCATTGTAAGCACTCTCACACCTACATTTCTTATCGGATTGGTATGAAATTTATTTCATAGGTTTATATCAGCAATGTCTTAGTTGAGTTCGAAAACCAGCACTGATCTATTTTTACTGGAGTCGTATCTCTTTTGAATGTAATTTTTATTTTTTGAACATAGCATTGTAAGCACCCTCATAGATATACCTGATTTCCTAGTTGAATTTTGAATAAGTTTGTTGCAAAGGCTGAAAGCAGCTAGGTCTTGGAAGCGTCCCCACCAACTATTTTTACTGGAGTAATGCCCTTGGATATAGAAATATATGGAAAAATAACTTTTTTAGTGAACTCATGCCTATATTTCTTGTAAGACATTTATTACAAAGTTGAAATAAAATGTTTTTAATAATTGCCTTTGGGCATATAGAATATGTGCAAAACAGGGGACATCGGAACCTTTATTATTTTGACGATAGAATAAAGTGTTCTTCATCAGCTGACGGCTGTAATTTTATTGTCTTCCATGGTATCTTCATTTTTCTTTAAAACTGTTAAATGAATTACTTACTTTAATAAATTATCAACAATTATAACATACCAAATGCCATTTTGGGGCGGTATTCGCCAGACTTGAGAACAAACCTTCTTTTCAAGCATGCTAGGGCGATAATAGTTGACAAAACACTTCATTCAATTGTAAATTGAAATTCAATCTTATTTTTTCCCAATGCACTTTCAATGTATTTGTTAAGATGTGGGAAGATCTTTATAGAATAATACGTATATTTATTTCTAGATAACCTAAAAGAAACATCAACGGAAGTAACTGAAACATCGAAGGAATCAGTGCTTGGTAAACTATTAGTATATTATGTATTTTTAATTATCACCTTAATTTACGACCATAAATATAATTGATAGCTCTAAAACATATGAAATTATTTAAATGGGATCTGCAAATATTGATATTCAATTATTGAAACAAATTTCACAATAGATTTACATATTGTATCATATGTATAGTATTACGTATATTACAAGACATGAAATACAATTGGAACATTATCTTCTTGTCGTTTTGCGTTCAGCCATCCCAGTTCAATAATTATGTAATTACCTTATTACAAACGTATGATAATGGTGTAAATGACGACACACGTTTTTTCTTTTGTAAATTTTATCAAGTAATCTCAACACCAAAAGTTTAGAAAGTGTATGTTTAACATCTTTTCTGTTAAGGTTGCAAGTTCGACGGTTATTTAGCCGAATATCAAATTTGTCCTTTGTTTCTCCCACGTAATGTATGCCACAGATGTTACATGTTAATAGATAAATTGAGTTCTCCGTTTTACAGTTGGAATTAGCGAGATGGTATAACTTTGTTTTGTAATGATGCTGATGAAAGAACTGCTAGTATTGGCAGCTTTACAACATAAGCAATTTCTTCTCCCACATTGTTTGTAGCAACCGGGAGGTGTAGTAGGTTGCTTTATTAATACAGCTGTCACTTATTTGTCATGGATGTTTTTAGGTTTTCTGAAGGCCATGACTGGTGGTTAGGAAAATACTTTTTTCAAATTGGAGTCATTCTCTATAATTTTTAATGCTTTCGAACAATGGATGACACATTTTTAAAATCAGGATGTTAAGTGAGTACAAGAGGTGTTCTGTTGACTCCTTTATTCCTATCTTTGTACTCCAGAAGGTCTTGGCGGCTTGTTCTGTTTGCTTTTTCGAAAGCTGTATAAATGCTGTTGTTATCGTATCCTCGAACAACTAGATGTTTACGTAGTTGTCCAAGTCAAGCATTTTGTTTATTTTCAGTTGAGCATATTCTCTTGATTCGCAATGCCTGACTGAAAGGAATACGACGGGAGCAGTGTTTAGGATGTCAACTCTTTGGAGAGAGACATTGATTTTATCCGTTTTTTCCGTATTGAGATCCGTTATAATGGTTCCGTTCTGGATGTAACTCGTAGTATCAAGGAAATTTATTTTCTCCATTGTTGTTTCGTGTGTAAATTTAATTGAATGGTGGAAAGAGTTACAGTGTTCTAGAAATTCATTCAGATGGTCTTGTGAATCTGTCCATTTAAAAACCAATTTCGTCCATAAATCGAAACCATGATAATGGCTGGTATGGAGCACTAGACAACAGGCGTTTTTCAAGTTGGCCCATAGATATGTTGGTATATTCCGAGGCCATTTTTGTGCTCATACTAGTGCCGTCTATCTGTAGACAGTGTTTGTCATTGAAAGAGAAGTTGTTGGTCTCCAGCACTTGTTTCAGAAGTGTAACAAGGCACTCAGTATGGGGATTTTTGTCACTACGATTGTTCCATACCTCGTTACACGCAGCTATTCTTTCGTCTTGTGGAATGTTGGTATATAAAGAAGACACGTCCATGGATTTGAGTATAGTATTGTTTGGTAAAGGATTAAGGCTTTCCATTTTCTTTAAATAATCAATCATATGCTGAATGTAAGAGGGGAGTTCTTTAACATAAGGTCTTAAGTGATGGACTAGAAATTTACATATCTTTTCAGTTTGGTGACTATTTGCTGAAACAATTGGTCGACCTGGATTGCCAATTTTGTGTATTTTAGGCAACATGTAGAATCTTCCAGCCATGGTTTCGTTCTCATGAGGTCGAATATAGCCAAAGGTATCATTATCGATATGCTTTTGGTCGTACATCTCTTGAAGGGTGGTATTGATCTTTCGAATGGTATTTTGTGTTGGATCTGTAGTTTATTGCTTGTAAAATTGAAGTTTGACAGTTGATGATTCCCGTCTTCTATGTAGTCTGTTTTATTCATAACAACCACAGCGCCTTTGTCGGCGGGTTTTATTACAATATCCTTTTGTTCTTTTAACGTTTTCAAAGCGATGCTTTCTGACTTGGATAAGTTATAATTTCTTTTATTTGTTATCCAGGATTTTATATCAGACCTCACATAGTTAATAAATGACTCCAAGTTTTCGTTTTTACTTTTTGGTGGTTTCCATAAACTGTTCTTCCTAAATGTTTGGATGGGCGGGAATTCTTCATTGTCGTCAGTATGACCAGGTTGGTGGTCACCTCTGTCATATTAGTTAGTTTCGGGGGAAACTAGCGGTAGTTTAGATAAAGTCCAAGTCGCTGGAAAGTTTACATATTTATTTCGCATCCATATATGTCAATCATAAAAACATAACTGAATAACAACATAAAAACATAATTATATAAAATACAATTTCAAAAGACTGATTGACATGCTAAAAAGGAACCAATCAAAATATCTTGTTATCAAATAATATAAATTCGCGTTTTGCCGAAAGCGGGGATTACGGATTAAAAACATGTTTCGTATAAGTTTGTCAAGAATGGCTTTCGGCAGTTATCACTTAGTGTCAATTTATCTATATTCTTTGTTACACAATCTTTTATCATAAAGACGGATATAAATCTTTGATAATTAATTTAAATGAAAGGATTATAGTTAAGTGTAAAATACAAGTAACTTTTGACGACTCGGAATGATAATAAAAAGCATGAATTATAAAAATATACAAAATCCTAAAAGTGAACTTTGAACGAACAATTGTCGGGTCATATCAGTATCTGAATCTGTTAATCCGGCTTCTTCAAGATGTTTTTTTTCCTCTATTGTAGAACGAATCTTTCAAACGTAAACGTCTAGCGAATTGGTGTAAGTCCTCGTCTAGCTGAAAGTTATTTACATTTGATGGGACAGAACAGAAATTTAAACCTTTACTTAAAAATGATTCTTCAGCACAACAATACTTTTATTTTTTTTCCGTCTTTTAAATTTTCTTTTTTAAGGGGCCTTTGGGTTTGTAGTATGAATATCATTAATATGCTGCTGTGACGGAACAGTGTGAACTTTATCTCTTTGAAATTTCTTCCTTTGTTTTCCCCTATGTTTAGATTGCTCAATTTGTTCGACAACAAATGGAAGTTTTTAACGACCTTGACTGGCTAAACAGCCCTTGCACGGTCGGTATTTGTTCGATATCTTCGAGACGACGTTTTATTTTTGGTAAATCCTCACGTGAAATGTGACTGCTGTTGATGATATCAGTTATTTCATTGTCAGTTTGCTTGTAATTTGTGGTCGTAAAAGAAAGTAATAATTGAAGTAGCCGGATTGAACATTTAAACAAAAGTTTCATTCCAACGACTCATAAACCTATTGGATTTCTGTCCCGGTGCCTGGGGACTCACTTTGATATTTAAATCTTTTGGTACAGTTTTATTTTTGGATATATTTTTTAAGTTTGATTTATGATGTTCAGTTTGAAGTTTCCTTTTAGTTAAAGATCTAGATCTTGATTTCTTAAAACGCAGTGCGCTATCCATGTTGTATAGATACAAACATCTGTGTAATCCATTCACAACAATACTTTCTTTTTCCCTACTTTTTGGATTGTTCAATTTTTCGAGGCGACATTTTATTCTTGGTTAATCTTCACGTGAATTTTAACAATCAAAACATAGGGAAAACAAAGGAGGAAAGTTTAAAGAGATAAAGTTCACACTGTTACTTCACATCCGCATGTTAATGATATCAATACTACACACCATAAGGCCCCTAGAAAAAGAAAATTTAAAAGACGAAAACAAAAAAATGAAAATATTGTTGTGAATTTGTCATCTAAAGAACTGACAACGCTGAAAGATTCTATATGTTGCCTAAAATACACAAAACTGCAATCCAGGTCGACCAATTTTGTCAGCAAATAGTCACCAAACTGAAAAGATATCTGAATTTGCAGACCTTCACTTAAGAACTCCCCTCTTACATTCAGGATACGACTGATTATTTAAAGAAAATGGAAAGCATTTATCCTTTTCCAAACAATACTATACTTGCATCCATGAACGTGTCTTCTTTATATACCAATATTCCACAAGACGTAGGAATAGCAGCGTATAAAGAGGTATGGAACAATCGTAGTAACAAAAATCCTCAAACTGAGTGCCTTGTTATACTTCTGAAACAAGTGCTGGAGAACAACAACTTCTTTTTCAATGACAAACACTATCTACAGATAAACGGCACTAGTATGGGCACAAAAATGGCCGCGTCATATGCCAACATATGTATGGGGCAACTTGAAAAACGCCTGTTGTCTAGTGCTCCATACCAGCCATTATCATGGTTTCGATTATTGACGATATTGATTTTTAAATGGACAGATTCTCAAGTCCATCTGAATGAATTTCTAGAACACTGTAACTCTTTCCACCATTCAATTAAATTTACACAGGAAACAACAATGGAGAAAATAAACTTCCTTGATACTACGAGTTACATCCAGAACGGAACCATTATAACGGATCTCCATACGGAGAAAACAGACAAACATTAATGTCTCTCTCCAAAAAGGTGCCATCCTTAACACTGCTCCCGTGGTATTTCTTTCAGTCAGGTATTGCGAATCAAGAGAATATGCTCAACTGAAAATAAACAATATGATAGACTTCGACAACTACGTAAACATCTAGTTGTTCGAGAATACAATAACAACAGCACAGTTTTAAACACGTCTCGCTATTAGCTGGATTTCCTCTGTTAAGGAAGTTTTAAACATACCACGTGTTAGTATATACGTTTGAAAATATTACTTTACATTTGAAACGGAAAATGTGTTTATAACATTTGCATACAAATTGCCTTGTTGAACTATCAAACTAAAAAAAATACAGTTACCTCTTTTATTTTTTAAAACATTACTACATGAATTCTTTCAAAATAGGTAAACATTTAATTTGCATTGAAAGCACATACAATCGATGAAATTGTTTTCCAAATTTGTCTTAAAACTATAAATGCATAGATATTTCTTATAAATTGATATTTTGTAATAAAATTTGTTTTCGGTTTGATTGATATGAAATAATAAAAAGGTTCACCTACTTTATTTTAGATGAAAACATGAATAATAATGACATAGCCCATTTACTGTACCTTGACCTCATTTGTTTCTAAATATTTCATTTCAGTAATTGGTATTGGAGTTGCAGTTGGCTTGTTATCATTCACAGTTGTCTCGATTCTACTAATTATTTTCATAAGGAGGTAAGTATGTTATCTGACCAACAGCTACTAATACAAAGTGCAGGTAAATTCATTTTGTAAGTATTATCTTAATCTTCATAATTATATAAATCTTCTTTTCTTACTATTAATCTATTTTTTATTTTAGTTTAACATATCTTGCATGCATAACCAACCAAAAGTAAGCAATAGGCTTTCATTTTGTAAGTTTATTTTTCTTCTAGCATAGTCGGTGTTGTGAGTACGTACCATAACACATTTGATACAGAACAAGCACAAGAACACAAGCTGACAGAATATTTCCGTTTACTGTATTAGATCTCAACCTTTCGGATGAACTTTTGTTTGTTTCTAAGCCTATATGAACTGTACAATCAAAGTATTCCAACATCTTGACTGGTCCTATAAAACTTTAACAACACTAAGGATGTGAGTTCGAACCCCGTACGTAGCAGGTGTGCTCGACTCGAATCTCAATTGACCAGGACTGTCAGGTTCCCTGCAGAAGGTCTGTGGTTCTTTCTTGTCATTTTGGCTTCCTCCACAAATAACAACTGACCACCACAAAATAGCCAATAATGCTGAAAGTTGCATAAAACACCATTTAATCAATCAATAGAAAACTTTGAAAAATACACTTATTTCTATATACTCCAAGAATCACTTTGAAGAGCATTTCGGTAAAATTAATTATCACCAGGTGGAATCAGTACATCCAGAGCACTTTTCAAAATTAACCTCCATCAGCGAAAAATTAAAAAAAAATCAAATGAAAGCTGGGATAAACATGTAATTAAGGAACTATAAACCAACAGTGATGTATACAGAATATATAGCCTAACCCATTTAAGGTCAACCTTGACTGGGGCAGTTGTAACCTTAGTTTCTAAAAACTTTTTAAATTCACAAATTAAAAAAAGGATAAAGGTGTTTAAAAAATTAAAGCCTAAATAATAGCTCTCGCCAGGTGAAAATATTTGCACAATCATTCTAAAGTTTTAACACACCATTTTTTTTTTTGCGTTCATGGTAAAATTCCAGATAGAAGTTTATCTGCCCAGAATGAATAATCTAACATACATTTTGTTTTTTTCTCTGAAATACAGAAATTTACCAACAAAAGTATCTTTACATAATTTCATTCTGACGAAGTTAATTTGAATAATTACCTATTATTGAAATATTTGAAGTGCAACAGAAGGTACAAGGACATCACGCAAGCTTATCTCCATAATGTAAGCATGAAAGCACGTGATATTTTGTTGCTCTAATCTTTAATTCCGAGGACAATGACCACACCAAAATTTTAAGTCAGCATTCATTTTCGAACACAAAAAGAAATTGTTAGAAATTAACCTTACAATATATATTATCTAACAATCCATCAATAAAATTGTAGGAATGAATTCAATATTTTTAACATTAAAACCTCAATTTATATTTTCTTAGAATCCACTAAGAATTGTTAAATCGAGAGCGTTTACAAGACGATTTTAACATAATTACTGTTTTAAGTTCTGTAACGCAATATTTTGTTTTTGTTTGGCACTGGAGTTCGAACTCGATCAACATATTGTCTATATAACACTTTTTAACGTGTATACAAAATACGGCCAGAACTGTAAAGGTGACGCGGGTTTTCGAACATGTTCAATAAATCCCAATAGATTTTCGGTATAGAAATATTCAATAGGCAGTATTTTGAAAATGACCGACTGGTAATGATTTCATTGTTCATAATGTTATACTTTTATGAATTGTAAAGACAACGTTTCAAGACCATCAATAAAACACTCTGTAAGGCAATGATGTTTAAGGAAAACTAAATAGAGAAAACGAAAACTACGAAAAGTACAATTTGAACGACTAAGGGAGATAATTTTACTCCTAGTATAAGTTATCTGTATCAGTAAAAAAATATACTTAATCAAGTATTACCACTGACTGGCAACCAGTTGTAGTATCATCTGTTGGTAGTAAAAATGAACCGTATGGAAAATTCCAAAGGATCTCAGTAACAAAATCTATCTGAACGTTATACCAAGGATTTGCTACCCCAGGAATAGATTACTTTAGACTTATTTGGCAAAACCTTTCGGAATTTGGGTCCTCAATGCTTTTCAACTTCGCACTTTGTTTTGGCTTTTTTCAACTTTTGCGATTTGAGTGTCACTGAAGAGTCATTTGTAAACCAAACGTTCGTCTGTCGTACACAATTTTAATCCTTGTATCTATGAGTTTAATAATAATAGCTGCTGCAAACATTGAGGAAATTATAATGGATATTTTACAGCATAAATTGGAATTCCGTGGGATCAGAATCTGTCTAGTGCAAATTAAAAATCCAATATCTACTAGAAGAAGTTACGAAAGACACCATTAACAAAACAAATTAATCTTTATCAAACAGACAATATTTTAAATACTTTCAAAACAAAATTTGGTTTTGATTAAGAATGTTCTTATAATTACTAAAACATTTGATGTGTTGAACCATATAGAAATATCATTTTTTTTTATTTTATTTCATTACAAAGAAAAACAAAATATTTCTTTAAATGTGTGTTTTTTTAATCATCTAGTACAATTCAGGATCCCCTATTACAAATCTAGATATCCCAATGTCTACCAATAGATATAGAACTATTTCCGTTCAAATTTTGTAATAAATCAAACGAAAATATTGGACTCAATCAGTGTTTGAGTGTAATCATTCGTATGTTGTTGTTTTAGATAAATCATGTCTTCTAAATCCGTTGCCAAATATTTATAGAATAACTAATCGAAGAATTCAAATATAGAAAAATATTCAGCGAGTGACCGAACAACACATTTATTCACTAATGCGCGTAGCGCATGAGTTAATTATCAGTTTTATTTGGTCGTGAGTTGAATATTTTTCGATATTTGAATTCTTCGATTAGTTATTCTTTTTCTTACATTGACAAAAGCTTTTTTAATGGAAATAAAATAGAAAATGCAAGGGACTTTATCTTTTTCTACGCATTTACAATTTATTTTGATGTAACGTCATCGACAACGTCTTGATAACACCTATTGTTGTATGACGTCAGAGGAGTGTAATTATCGAGTATATTTTTTATGGGACATTATCGGCTTTTATTTCACTGGGAAATCACAGTAATTCATTGGAAACAATGTAATAAAACTTTTGAACTGTCTACACTTCACTTTAACACAATACAATTTCCTTTATCAGGTTAGCTCCAATGTCAAATAATCAAATGTTTAGAAACATGAACACTGAATGGACCTAACATATCGACAAACAATGCATCTCCTTTCTCTTGACCAATGTAGCAGTAATTTATTGCAAGGATGTTGAACGTAATGAAAATAAAAGCTCTTTTCAATTTCTATATTCCAAACTTTTTTTATTCGGTTTCATTAATATATCCTCCAGGACTAGAAATTAAAGAAACAACACACACGGCTTCCTCCGCCTCATTTTTAGACTTATGCCACGAATTTGACATAAGCGGTCATTTCAGTACCAGAATCTATGACAAACGAGATAATTTCAATTTTGAAATTATCAATTTCCCCCTCCTTCGTAGCAATAAACCAGCTTCACCTGCATACGGGATATACATTTCCCAACTCATTCGCTATTCAAAAGCTTGCAGCTGCTACCCAGACTTTATAAAACGTCACCAGTGTCTGTGTAAAGTTGATGAACCAGGGTTATGTCAAAGAACGTCTCGTCCGTTTTCTAAATAAGTTCATCGGAAAATACCAAGCCCTCGTTGATAAATATTCCGTATCAACTTCACAAATAATACATGATGGTCTTGAAGTATAGATTTTAGGTACTGACGTTGTTTATCATCTTAATAACGTGTTATAGTGTTCTTTTATTTATCGGAAAATACCAAGACCTCGTTGATAAATATTCCGTATCAACTTTACAAATAATACATGATGGTCTTGAAGTATAGATTCTAGGTACTGATGTTGTTTATCATCTCAATAACGTGTTATAGTGTTCTTTTATCTGTCTTTGTAAATTATTAACCTTTACTGTTTAGTCCATTTTTGGTAATATCGTTTTGGCGTGGCTCGGTACTTATGCATCCCGCCCAAGTGTTGTTGTGCTGTGGTAATTTTTTGTATTCTTGTATTTCTTTTTTGCTTATGTGCTTTTTCGATATGCCATTTTGTTTTTCTTTGTCGACATATTTGTTTTATAGTGATTAAGATTATAACACAATGTTGACTGCTGTACCCCTATTTTTGACATTTTTAATTATTATGTCTGTTTGTTTTGTTCACACATTGTTGTCAATGTAATGGAATTTTATGCGACTGTCATACAAGTGTCAGGTTAAGCTAGCTATAAAACCAGGTTTAATCCACCATTTTTTGACATAAGGAAATGCCTATACCAGGTCAGGAATTGACAGTTGTTTTCCATTCAATTGATGTGATTGAGCTTTTATTTTTGCCATTTGATAAGGGACTTTTGAATTTTCCTTGGAGTTCGGTATTTTTTGTTTTTTTACTTTTTATTTTAACACAAAAGAATGACAGCAAAAAAATCTAGTATGACGTAAATAAAAGACAATGGAACAAGATGTATTCTAAACTTATAAACTTATAAAGGTGAACATTCACAAATCAAAATGTATGACCTTAATGCATAAAGAAATTAAGTTTGGTATCTCAACATGTTTTACGTTTTGTGGAAATATCGGCTGCATTGTTGCATTTATTTTTATCAGAACAAGTTTAAATTATAGTAACAGTTTAGGTATCTATTTCAGAAATACATGAACACAAATTAAAGGCATAGTCATATGTGATTTCCAATGTCAGAGTACATAGCTATGACGTCAAAATGACATCATAACTGAAAATACTTTTAACAATTAATTTAGTATAAGTAAGACGTATCAACATACATGTATCGTTTCTGACAATGTTGCTATTACTAAGTTTGCAGAGATATAAGACAACCCAATTCTCCATTTACCAAGTTATTTTCAATATTCTATAGAAACAACGAATACATTTTACTTCATTTACAGTAATTACTTATTGTGTTGTCGTTAATAATATATATTTTATAAAAAAATAGATCATTTGGTAACAGAAAAGACATTGGACTGTCAAATGACAACAATCAAAGACAAACACATATACTAAATGAAGTATCACCGAAGAAAATCACTACTGTAAAGAAAGACAGACCTTGGAATGATAGTCGTCTAGAATTAAAAACGAGGAATCAAAAATACAATGGTTCAGTGATAAACAAAGGCTATGATTACACCGATATCGAAAATGTGTTAAACACCACAATCGATGTAAAAGTCTCACCCTTAAACATTGGTAATGACAGATGTTTGAAAGATCAACTTTTAAAGACGGATTATATTATGTTAGATACAGCTGAAACCGGATTTAACAGATCGAATGAAGAAACAATCAATGGAACTTACGAGCTCGCAAAACCCAGTAATATCAGTGAATTTGACAACAAAATAAAGGGAGAGCATCTAGACAATGCTTACAATCTTTCTGAAGAATGTGTCTACGATACAGCAAGAAAAAATCGACTTAAAGATTCCGACGCCAGCGTTTACAGTCACACAGTTGATGACGTGTATGATACAGCATGTAGCAAAATAACAGTAGTTTTTCAGGAAGACAAGTACGATCACTTCACTGGACAGACAACTGAAGATGATTATAACATAACAAAACATTGATAAAGCTTTCAAAAGATATAAGTGATTTACTATGTCCAGGGAATTGGCAATTAGTGTCCAATTGACGTTTCAATATTTATTTCGAGTATTCCAATAATGCTTTGGCATAGAATTAGTATTTATTATCTATTCAAAAGAAAAAGAAAAATAGGTGGTTTGATGAGATCAATTATTTGACACTTGAAATTGCAAAAAATAGTAAAATTATTCAAGTCTTTCAAATTTTTGTTAATTGTATTGCTTAATAAACAGGTTCATATAATTTGGACACTTTACTGTAGAATGGTCACTGCTTATGTGCATAAACATGCCGAAGGGAATATTGAGTACCCATAAAAAGATATTTGACATACATTAACATCTTTGAAAAATACATTGTACAGCAAACATAATTTTAGATAAAGCTGTTGCTTATACCTAAATAAAAATCACAAGATCTCAGAATGACCTACTTTTTAGCATTCTGTGCTGTTTTGCAATAAATACAAGTAGTTTGAAGCCCTAATGCCAATATGTAAGAGAAAAAAATCATAAATATAAATACTGATGTCTAAGAGAATAATGTCGTATGTTCATCTGATGGATACTATTTGACAGATTTTTAATTCTTTTTTTTTATTTTGAAATTCAGGAGGCTAAAACCTGGCCTTATCCCAACTTCTCCTTTACTTTCTGAATATTTGTTTTCCCTGTCCGTCACATGAGTAGATAAGTATATAAATTTGAAGAAATAGAAAGATAAATACGCCTTAACTATTTACTGCACAATGCATGATTAACATTATTTTACAAACAATAAGACGCCTTTAAAAGCTGTAATAAACGATACTACAGTTCACAAGATTCTTAACAAAAAGTGAAATTAGAAAAATACACACCACTTCAAAAATCGAGTCAGGATCTGGCTTAAATTAATAGCTCAGACTCCACTTATTGCTACCGTTGTGTTACTTATGACAAGTGATGCAACAGGTGAGCAGTCGCACTTGATGATGTCATATATATATATATATATAAGAGGTAATATGGTTTACTCATGCTCATTATTCATTATTCTATTTAAAATGTTACAACAAAGAAAAAAAACTCGGATGGAGCGAGACTGGTTGTTTCAAGGTAAACATCAACTCATGCATCAAATACAAAGTGAGTACCGACTCAGTTGAAAATAAACTCAACATAGATGCCAGTGCAAAGAATGCATGAAAGAGTAAAGGACACAACTGGATAACATTTGGTTCAGAAAAATTCTCTGGTGTCTAAAATTTGAGAGCGAGAAAACTTATTTTACGTAATTTTAGACAATAAATCTTCGTATGAGTCAACACAATCCTTACGTTGAATGGAACACTTGCAAACTTTCGATTTTAGTCACTCCACTTCAAAATCCTGCTAGGCAAAGGAGTTGTGTTTAACATTGTAGGAGCACTTCGGAAAATGCATGTACTAAGTCAGCAGTATAACCTTTTGGTTGAAAACGTTTGATTTTGTCAGTTTTTATGGACTTCCCCTTTTTGAACTTACATAACGAGTAAGTTATTTTTGTTATACTTTTTCTCCTTGTTACTAAGTCCATAAAATGTAAAGATAAACGTGTTTAACAATTCAAATGAGATGTGTAATCGGCATACGATGGGGTAGATGGTATGTTACATTTTTTATCTCCTTACATACAGGAACTCAATAATTGTCAGCAAAAACATGATGGCGTCCGTAATACTTAGAAAAAAATGTTTTCATAAACCACATAGCTTTCCCTTCGTTTTCAATTCATCAAACAATATAATCCTGGATCTAACTTTTTTTATTTGAAAATATTATACTTCGTCAAGTATTATGTAATCATGTCATTTTTTAAATATATATCAATCTTTATGGTATATCTTTCAAGATATCACATATTTCGTTCTCCTCCATATGCAAAATATACTAATAGTGAAATACAGCAAATGAAAAAAATCTGTTATTTATCAAAACGTATCTATAAGTCTACGTAAAGTTAGAAAATGTTGATTTGTTGACAAATAAACCACTGATGCTGTAAAAACTGCCGGAAACATTTGAAATGGCATTCATTATGACATTACGCTGTAGAAATCTCTAATTTACCCTTTTATAAAAAAAAAAATATGAAATACGTATTAAGAGGTTATCCTTTCTTTCAAAAATCTAAATAATACTAACAGAGTGTTTATTCATGATTCATGATTCTAAAATTAAATAAAGAAAAGTGGGTCATTATTGTTATCTTGTGAACTCGATAAATATGTTATTTTCCCGGAATTTCAAATAGTGAAGATATCATTTTGGTGGAGTCAAGCCTGGGATGTTTTCTCAGATTTTTTCTCTTGCTTTGTATATTTTGATATATTTATTCATTCTTAACATTGGTAAAATACAATTGTCTTATCAATGATTCATTGTTAGGTCTACAAGAATACAATGGAAATTCATTAAATATGTCGTTAAAATACTTATGCTCTTATTACTGTTCATCGTAAAATTGATCCTATATTTTGATTAAGAACGGTCAAATATCGAATGATAGCTTCCTTAAACTAACCGATAACGCCCATAATAACATGAATAAAATCAAAATCAACACCCAAACGTAAACAAAATGAAAAAAAGACATGATACTTATTTCATAAGTGAAGCCCAATGATATAACAATACAGTTTGTTGGCGTGTATGGACATGAATGATCAATAAAGCGCTTTAAAAGAGGGGCGAAAGATACCAGAGGGACAGTCAAACTCATAGATCGAAAACAAACTAACAATGCCATGGCCAAAAATAAAAGACAAACAGACAAATAATAGTACAGATGACACAACATAGAAAACTAAAGACTAAGCAACACGAACCCCACCAAAAACTGGGGGTGATATCAGGTGCTCCGGAAGGGTAAGCAGATTTAAGTTATCAAATGTTGTATGTCATCAGTCGTGGTCGAGTGGTAATATTATTAAGAGAAAAAAAATGCACAGATAATTAAGTTAACAAATTGCTACGATTGAAGAGTATGATGATTATTAAAGAAAATACGCACAAGTTCAAACCATAAATGTGATATTAATTTTTGAGAAGTGAAAAGTTCCTAAGTTAAAAGTGGAAAGTTACACAACAAGTTAACTTAAGTTATTACAGTGGTCGGTGGATCCTTGAAAAAAAAACTAAAATTAGTACATGGGTTATATAATCGCTGTATATCATATTTGTTTTCATTTAATTGTTTGTACATAATTCTGACCTTTAGTTTTTTTCGATTGAATTCTTTTACATTTGTCATTTTGGTGCATTATTTTGCTTGTAATCCGGTATGGCTTTTACTCATGTTTGAAGGCCGTACGATGACATATAGTTGCTAAACTTCTATGTGATTTGGTGTCTGGTGAAGAGTTGTCTCATCGGCAATCATACAACCCCTTATTTTTATAATCATTGATATTGGTTGTTTTTCTATCTGCACTTCATATATAATTTCTGTTGTGGTTAATAACTGTTTTCATTATGATATTTATGGTAGATTACAAGATTTCGCATCAACACCAACTCACTTCCCATCTATTTTTGATAATAAATGCAGGTCAAGATGAAGATTCAAGATGGTTTATTAGTTTGACACATCATTATGTTTAACCCCGCCTCATTCTTTATGTTCAAGTTGTTTTATTCGGTTACTGGGCCGTAGTTTTTAGTGGACAAGGATACCATCAGCACAATATACACAGTGCTTGGTTCTGACATAAATTAATAACATACCTTTCTTGAATTGTCTTTTTATAAATTTATAAATTATTCAGACCTAAAGTTCAAACTCCCTCGGGCAACCTTAGATGGATTTGGCTATTTTTGTACGTAAATTATGCTCCTTTGCTTTCAAATATTTGTCTTTGAGCTTTAAATTCCTGATGAAGATAAATCCAGAAAATAGCTTTGGACACACAAAAATTAAAAAGTGTAAATTTCGATTTTTTGTATAGCACTTGGTAGATTCCGCTGCGTGAGGACTATTAGTCCCAGCGGAAGTCATCAGCTCAGTTGTAAAGGCTTAATTACTGACATGATTAAAAACATACCTTTTTGTACAAAAATTTCTGTTTATGAATTTATAAGTTATAAAGAGACTAAGTTTCAAACTGTCTCCAAAAAAATGACCTTAGATGCAGTTGGCTATTATTTTTAGATCCTTTTTGGTGATACAACTCTTCACGTGTTTCGGTACTTATACATTTTTGGCTTTCAAATATTTGGCTTTGTGCCCAGATGAAGGTAAATCCAGAAAAGCGCTTCGGATGCATACAATTTATAAAGTGCTTTTTTTTTCTTATTTTAGATTTTATCAGCACTTTGGTTTTCTCTTTTATACTGATCCACATTTTGTAATAAAGATGCCTTTAAAAGCTAATTGTACGATATGGGTTTTGTCAATTGTTGAAAGCCGCATGTTGACTTGTAGTTGTGTACCTCTTTAATTTGTGTTTTGGTCTTAAGTGGATATTTGTCCCATGGTTATCATATCACATTTTGTATGTGATAAAATATGTTCGGAATATCACTCAAAATGGCAAAATCCAGGCCTGGAAAAATTCCAGAATTAGAAGAAGTCAATCATTTTAATTGATTACACGTCTTTAAATAATAACTGATACCATCTGGTTGTGTAAATCAATAATTATGAACTCAACACTAAATGCAAAGTAATATTGTTATTCAAATACTCATTGAATGCTTCTACATACAGATATAAACATACCAGTACCGTGTAAATGTACAAACTCATCGAAAAGGTAGACATGTTATGCTTAAAAACCTTGCCTAAAAATGAAATATAAAAAACTTAACGCATATCAATGACTTATACCGTTAATTTTATTTCAGCTTGCCAATTAAGTTTCAAAGAGATGTCTTGCAGTCTCTTTTCTGTAGTTTCCAATTGTACTTCAGCGAAACAGTCACTTTAAAATGTCTTATATATAAACAGTAGTACTCGTCGATCAGTTTGAGTGTTAGAGGAATTATTTTAGCTTACCTTATAGAATATATCCAATTAAGTATAATATTTAAATGACTTAATTCATATAAGAAATTTTTTAAAACATAGTTTAAAGTAGCATGAATTCAAAAAGCTTTACAATTAAAAAAAAAAACACATAATGAATTGTTAAAATAACTAGCTGATTCAATGAGACTAGAGTCGATAAAAGGGAATGTTGTCTGACAGAATTGGGCATATAACTGTATATTTTCTTTTCTATAATACAAGTAATTTGAATTTAG